TCTCTCTCTCTCTCTCTCTCTCTCTCTCTCTCTCTCTCTCTCTCTCTCTCTCTCTGTGTGTGTGTGTGTGTGTGTGTGTGTGTGTGTGTGACACATGCACTCCATAAACACACACACACGCACTCTGAATGTGTGATGTGCTTCGACGTCACAGTCAAGAAAACCTTGCCATGCGCTCGGTTTGGTTTTTTTAGCTTCTTTTTGTTCTTCACTTGGCTTGCAATTCTCAGGACTTATTTTCCCCCCTCTTCACTTGTGCTGGGCGCAGACAGACAACGCTGTTCGACTGATATTTGTCTTTGTGTTGTTGTCAATCCCAGGCCTAGCAGGACTACTGTCTTCACCCGAATAAAAGAACACCCTGTCATTATCGCTGTACCTCGACTGAGAGTTGCCCCATGCAGCTATAATGACCGAGCATTCTAATCCGGTGAAGACGGTAGTGATGTGGTGTTGTCAGCAGTTGACAGAGCCAGGTTTCAAACCAAAGGCAGGCAGGTTGGTAGGTGGAAAGTTGCAAACCTTATATCAATCAGCTGGTCTTTTCCAAGCCCGTTTGGACTTTTCAGACTGGCAGGCCCTCTGCTGGTACATCAGGGATGATCAGAGAGCTAATAAGCAGGAGGGGAGCCAACTTTTCACTTATGAAGATTTAAAGTGTCATTTAGGTAAATACATATTAGAATAATAAAAAGTACTAAAAACATAAGCTTGTGATAGAGCAACACCTAAACCAAGCTAATGCAAAAACAATGAGAAAAGGTGCCAGATGAGCTAAATTGCAAATACATGATAGCTCCCCTGGACAACATAGTCCAAGCAAAACCACTCAAAATCTCCACTAAACTATGACCAGCCATCATATTGACAAATAAACGTATTCCTTTACATTTTGGACGTTTCGCTTTGACATACAGGGAAGCATTTTTCTTGTCCGCCATTGGAGGCGAGACATGGGTGCAGCCATAGCAACTGAGACCTCTGCCGTCAATCAACCCTTTATTTGTAGGTCTGTTTGCTATTGTTGGGAAAGGGTGGCTGGGCGCCAGGTGGGTAAGTCTTATTTCTTTGTTTCTCTTCTTTCTTTTTTCCTTTTTTATTTTTTTTCCCTTTTTTTTCCTTTTTTTTTGGGGGGGGGGGTAAGTCGGATGTTTTCCTCGTGAGCTTTCTAGTTGAAGTAGCACATGTGATTTGCTATTGATTGCCAATCAAGTCCATATGCACATATGATTTGCTATCCATTGCCAATCAAGTGCATGTGTTCCAATTTATGTCACATTGTGAATCAGAGCGCAGAAGCGAAAAAAAGGGAAAGAAAAAAAGAAAAGGAAAAAACGGGGAAGGGGAAGAGGTAAGGAAAGCTCCACCTGTTCATAACCTCTTACGTACAAGGCCAGCCACGTGGATGACAGGTTGAGCGCTGGCTGCCCCCATCCCCGTGTGTCACAAGGACCCACTTGCACGCAGCCAAAAGGCAAAGAGCTAAAGAAAGGGAGGAGGAAACCAAAGCTGACAGGGAAAGAAAGATAGGGAAAGAAAGATAATCCAATTATCACAAAGCAAATAACACATCCCACAGATCAACGTATCTTTTTTCTTTTTTTCTTT